ACACCCTACCTCACTGTGTTCTATCACAGCTCCCGCTCCTCTATGGCCTCTCCCAATACAACCGTGGTCACGTCTATCTCTTTATCATGTGTAGCCCTCTTTGTCTCTTTTGAACAACTCTCCCCTACTTAGAGTATAATAAACACGTGTCAAATAAGAAAAAGTGTGGAATAATTTTTTTGCAGCAGAAACACTAAGCACTGTCCATTTAAGGTAGAAAAGCTGAATCATTCATTATCTTACCTTGAATTTTTCTGTAGGAGCAATTTCTACGTTAGCACTTTTTAATTCTGAGCCACTCTTATTCGTAACTGACCAGACCATCAATAAACAATCATCCTTCCAAATTTTGTAGGAGGAAGCTGATATGGTTTCATTACTACAGACTTCTATAACAGGTGAGTGCATGTGCTCAGTAGGGTCTTCCAACAAAGCAGCAGCTAAAGACACTTCATTAGCAACCGAGGCTCCAGGAGACTGAGAAGGGTGAAAAATTTCCAAGTTGTTATCAGCAAATAAAGAAGGCCTGGGCAGGTTGCAATCTGAGGGTTTTTCAACCATATGCAGTTCTGTGAATGACTCAGAATCTAAAAGCTCTGAATCAAGGGAAATTTTCTTTAACTCTTTGTCTCCTATATCCTGTAAAGTATCCAAATAATAATCCTCTTCATATGACGCATTTGACAAAGAATTAGGATGAGCACTGGTTGGTTCTCCACTTTTTGTTTCCTTAGTTTTTGATTTCCTTCTGAATTTGTGACATACTGTATCTGCTTTTCCCAGCTGTAAAAATAAAACATAACAATAATATTATAAAAATAAATCAGTTTACTGAGCCTAAGTTTTAAATATTCTTCTATAGTTTCAAATGAGTAATGTACTAACTTAAGGTTCTATCTATGAGGTAAAACTTAACAAATAAGTAGACAAAAATATAACCCCTGAAACCCTGACAGTACATTACTTTGCATCACTAGCTAAATTTGCTTTCTCTTTAAAAACACATGAAATCAGAAACAGAAATAAAGTAAAAAAGTCAATTGTGAACAATTCAAAAAAGCCTCTTGAATTTCAAAATTTAGATCACACAACTTTAAAATAGTGATAAACCTAAACCGTACACCTGAAAAAAATGCTGAAATCATAAAAGTTGTACTACAAATATATATATATATACACATTTACAACAAAATAGTCACTTTTTTTGGTTTCTAAAATTGTCCTGTAGAAGTGTAAGAAAGTCTAAAATACACAAAATAGCCCAAAGTTCAGTTCAATAATCTGTAATAATCGTGATTTCATGGCATGTGATCAATTGGTAGGTAAGAAAAATTGATAAAATAGAGCCTCCCAAATACTTAAAATTGAAAAACACACCACAAATAATCCATAGCACCCCCCCAAAATTACAAAGGATATGAGAAATTATTTTGAACTAAGTGAAAATATTCATAACATAGGAATATTTAAGGAAGGGCAGAGTAGACCAAAAAGACAAAGGAGTGAAAACCAACAGGCAGATTCCAGAACTCTCTGAGTCCAGAAGCAAGGGGGGTGGGGGGGAGGGGGCAGAGAGGGCACAGAAGCTGCAGGAACCTGCCCATTAACACAAAGGATCACTTGCCCCTCACAGCTGTTAGGGACGGTCTGGGCAATACCCCAAACAGGGAACATAGAAAGGCAGCTAATCTGTGGAAGCTGTAGTCTGATATTTTAAGTGGTACAGACTGGCAGTGGTAATTCATGAGCTATGCAACTGGGAGGGGTGAAGCAAGACTGTGGCACTGCTGAGACAATGCTGTTGATTCTCACTGAGGCCCAAGACAGAAAGAACTACATGGACAGCAAGCCTTCGGAGCGATGACAACAGAGTGGAAAAAGAAAGGGGAGAAGGGAAGGAGGGAGGGCGGGAAGGGGAGGGGAGGGAAAATGGCAAGGTTCAAAAAAAATAGTAAAACACAAAATCATGAGAGGGATCAATCAAAACCAAAACACAAAGATGAGGAAAACTTTCCCACAGAAACGTTGATAATTTTCAGACTATGCTAGAAAAAGCAACAGAAACACACAATAGAGTAGAACAGATAGAAGATAGAATCAATTGACTAACGGACAAAATAACCGAATGTGTCAAGTCTCAAGAGACACAAGAGACCTGGGGTCTTTATGCTGAGAATCTCTGAGACCTAGGGAAAGATTGGTGTCAAGGCACACCAGATGCACAGATGTAGATGCTACAATCAACAAGGATCTTGCATCCCCCTTGAGCCAGTGCCCTGCATTCAGACTGCCAGCCTCCTAATGAGAAAATCTTTATGGATTCTATTTCACTTTTGATAACTTCTATAATTTCCCAGTTTCATACTTTGTACAGTCCACATTGCAAGTATTAATGGATGTCTGCAGCTGTTTCTTCTCAAGCTGTGCCACATCAGCAAATGAATCTCACTCCATCTATCTCACTATGGTTGACTTCAATGAGGCAGCTCTTCCGCAGTGGTATCTAGAGTGCCTTCCAATCTGAGAGGCTTATCTTCTGGTACTACATCAGACAGCATTCAACGGCAATTTGTACGGTTTTCAGTGGCCAGTGATTTTGGGGGAGTTGGGGGTGGGGAGTAGATCTTAACCCTCCCAGTCTGAGTTTGGAAGCTCCGTTGACCACCCTGTGTGACCCTGCTGGTATTTTAAATACTGGTGGCATCTAGTATACGGGCAACACATAAGCCACCAGAGCACGACAAACTGACAGTAGAGAAATACCTATAGGTATGTGTAAATATAAATGCATGAGTGCAGCCGCATATACTCACTGAAGACACAAATATTGATACTTCTCAGATATAGGCAACCACCTAAAATTGGTTTTCTGGGGTTGGAAGCTTAAGGATCATGGTCTTATAAGAGACTGGCATAGCTCACAAAAATCATGATCCATATCCTAATGGAGTAACATATGGAATCTTAAAATGCTTCTAAATAGCCATCTAAGACCCAAATATGGATTTTAGATTTTAATTCACCAAAAGGAAAACAGTAAAGTAACCAAAAGCTCAGCAGAGAAATAAGACTATAAAAAGCAACGACATCATCAATTTTCTTTGCCAACATTTTAATTCAAATGCTTCAATTCTGTGGTCTTATTCATTCTCAAACTTGCACCTGCATTTGAGGTGATTAAAAATTCTATGGCTTGGGTCACCGTCAGACTTAACACACTAAGAAAAAACACATTGACCCTAAAAGTAATAATATATCTTAATGCTAGCTCAGTTGATATTTGAAGCTTAGCAGCAAAGTGACTGATCTTGGATCTTTTAACTGTTAGAAGGACTGATGAGAGGGTGCCAGCATATGCTCAGGCACTGATGGTGCAAGTTCTCAGTTGTCGGTCAGGTGACACCAAGGTCAGGTGACACCGAGGATGTGGAGCGTTGATTTGTGAATCTTTTTAACAAAGTGCATTGCTAGAATCATGAGATTTCAGAGATTAGTATCAATTTTTTTGTTATTGTTGTGGGCATGAAATCACACATTTTTAAGATTTATTTTTTATTTAAATAATGCTGAGCCTTTTGGGCTATTCCATAATGTAGGTTTTTTTTTTCTTCTTCTCCTCAGCTGTTCCTAGAAAAACAATTTTAAAGATGGAATTGATATCCCTTTATTTCATGTATTTCCTGTGTTCTTTGAGGATCAGGTGATTTGAACAGTCTCAGCACCAAGCAGGAGAAGCAAGTGATTATGTAAAATTCGCACTTAACTTCTCACTCCCCAACCCCAACTTTTCCTGTTACTAGGGCTAAACAACAGGATTGGGACTGATTGGATGTTCTATCTGTATCGTCTTTTCTTCAGGATAAGCTTGTCAATTTCTAGCAGACAGCCTGCTGGGATTTTGACAGGGTTTGTATTGAATCTATTGATGGAATTCAGAAGAATTGACATATTTATCAAATGTTAACTTTCAGTCCATGAACATTGTGTGTGTGTACCCATTTATGTAGCTATTTAAGTTTTTCCAGCAGCAGTGTCCTATAGTTTAAGAGGCTATATAGTTATTTATAGGAACAGACTGTCTGATCTTTCTCCCAGAGAGGAGCTGGTAGGTCCAAATTGCTTGGCAACCCAATACTTAACCCACTGAGCCACCAGGACTCATCCTTTTCCTACAAACATCACCAATAGTTTTTAACTATAATTACCGAGAATATTCCCCTCAAGACCCTTTCTCTTTAGAAGCTGTTTCATGTACCCACGATTGAGTACTTGGGTCATGATTTGTACTTTAAACCCTATATCCTTTGCCGCCCTCTGAATGGACTGACTACAATGAGTCAATTCGATTTTCTGCTTCAGTGGTCATCAGTGACAGGAGCTTGGAAGATAATAAATAGTCAGAGCTTGAGAATTCATTCCCACCACATGTAGATGACAGCGCTGCTGTCAGCAGTTGAGTCCATTTCAACTCATGGCACCCTGCAAGAGAGGGCAGAATTGCCAGATTGGGTTTCCTAGGCTGAAATCTTTATGGGAGCCAATTGCAGGTCTTTTCTCCCAGGGAGCAGCTGGTGGGTTTGAACTGCTGGCTTACTGGATGGCATCTCAGTGCCTAACTATTGCACCACCTGGGTTCCTTATACAAAGGATAGCCAGGGCCTTTCATAGAACCTTTATATATCTATAAAACAGGGAGCCGAGAAATAGAGATGGATGTAACTTACGACTTACCAAATTGATGGTGCTTTCTGAACCTAGACCAACAAACAACGACGATGCCAGCAGCTGCTTTTCTTTCTCCTCCCTGGACGGGGTTAGTGCTGGAGGTGGATCCTTTTTTGTGACCGGCTGGTCTACATTCTCCAGGGCTGCAGTCTCCTGGGGAAGAGGCAGAGCGTCCACGCCATCCCTGGTTGTGCTCTCCTTCTTGGGAAGATAACCCTCTTTTCCCCACAGCTTCTTTATACCTTCCAGCTTCAAGCTATTTGTCCTAAGGAGATTGTTGATAAAAATCTCATCAATTTAATTTTAAATCATTTTCTTCTTGAACACCCCCCCCCAAAAAAAAACATACCATTGCATTTATTTGTTGCTGTTTTATTTTTTGAAATGTTTTCAATTGTTTTATTGAACCATAATTCACCCACATATATCTATAGTTCACTCATATTTAAAAACAGTTATAGCTACCAGGAGATACTTCCAAAAAACCCAGAATTGTGCTGGGCAGAGTGGAGCTTTCATAGTATGCATTTTCCCACTCAATCTGAGTTAGTGCACCCAGTGGTGTCTCCTAGGAAGGTTCTCTCTGGTCACAGTGAATTTTTTTGTACAGTTTCACTCGAACCTCGTTTTTTGTGATGGCCAATTTAAGAGAACAGTATGCAGCTGTGAAATTTTGTTTCCTACTCAGGAAAAATGCTGCAGAAATGGTTATAATGTTGAACACAGCTTACAAGGACAGTGCTATGAGAAAAACTCAAGTGCATAAGTGGCTTTCTCCTTTCATAAAAGGTGAAATGCCGATCGATGGCAAGCCTTGTTCTGGACGTCCCTCAGCTTCCCGAACAGATGCAAATATTGACTCGGTGCATCTGGAGTTCAGTCCACCAGGTCAGACTATTAACCAAGCGTTCTATTTAGAAGTTCAAAGATTGCGTAAAGCGAGTGACAAAAAAGGCCCGATTTGTGGCAGACGGGACTAGCGGCTTTGCCACCGTGACAATGTACCAACTCACAAAGCCATCTCAGTGAGCCAGTTTTTGGCAAAAACAGCATGCCTCTCTTGTTCCACACACCTGAGTCACTTTACCTCTTTCCTTGTAACTTCTTTTTGTTTATGCAAATGCAGAGGGGCATGAAAGGACAGCAATTTGATTACTTAGAAGAGGTGAAGGAAAAAAACAAGGGAAATAAAAAAAAAACAACAAAAAAAAAACCAAGGGAAATACTGTCAGTCATCTAAAGAGATGAATCTGAAAAATGTTTCCTAGAATGGAATTGCAGATTTGACAAATGTATTGAGTGTAATGGAGCGTACTTTGAGGGTGATAAGGTTATTTTGTAAAAAAAATTAAATACATAGTTTTAAGAAAAAAAAATTCCAGTTTCTTTTAGGTGCCCCCCCCCAACCTGGATATCACCAGTTATAGTGCACCTTTCCCATCCCGTGTTCATTAGTTGCTCTTCAAATACCCTCCCCCCCAACTCCCTGTACCTTCCGTGTTTCATAAACAAGGAAACAAAAGAAAATGAAAACAGTATACATATATAATAATAATAAGCCAAGGAGAAAATCTGTCGAGAAACAAGCACAAATAGATATATATATACACATATATATAGAACAAATCCAGAATGAGTCGAGGGAGGTCAAATGACCAGGTACCACGTTATTCCATAATTCCATCCACCATAATCAGGTTCACAAAAATCTCTGTCTGGTAAGCAATGCTATTTGAGTCCCTCCAGTGTGTTCAGAGAGGACCTGTCAGAGGCCTAATCTGCACAGTGGATTTGGGGATCCCACTGTGCTCCACAGCCCCCTATAAATCGTACACTATTGCCTTTAAAAATAGCTTTCATGTTATATTCTACAGGCTAGAAGTAAAATCTAGATCGCTAGATTATATTTTCATTATTGAGAACCTTCCTTCACATCTCCTGCCCCCAACTCCATCCAAAGAATTTAAAGTAGAACTCTAGACTGAGTAAAATTCCCAATCATTTAATTTTCACTTAACTGCTTGAAGAAGTTACATAAAAACAGAACTGCAGCAAATCAGTTCCTTTCCCCCATTGATTTTTCAAAGTTACTTTCTCTTTAAATCTGATGGGCTAAACATCAGGAATGACTCTAACAGTTTCTTAGCTATAACCACCCAATGAGAACATTAAAGCAACACAAATTCAGGAAAGAAATTCCTGTTGAAAGCCAAAAACTGTTGAAATGAACTCCTATGTATAAAATTACTTTTAATCCAAAGGTTTTTAAAAGCTTAGCACCAGCTACATTTTCTCAAGTATTACTAGCATACTTTTATTAAAAATATGAAGTTTGCTTTATATAAAAAAAAATTTTAGGAAAAAGCATAAAGGTTGGAAAATTTTAATACTTAACTTGAAGAAGAATTAACATAATGATTGAGAGGTGTCCTGCTCAGGTGCCTATGATAAAGCTTTTACTAGGCAAAAAGTCCAGGGCCAAATTTAGATTTTGGACTCATTTATAGTTTTCAAAAAATGACAGTACTGAATGCAGAGTGACTAATACAGCCCTACGTGCAGGATGAAGCAGTCAGACTCCCTCTACCGTCTCCATGAGAGCGATGTGCCCACGGCACGAGGCTCAGTTAAGCACCTTTGTCGTGCTCTAAAACAACATTTAAAAATGTTGTGCTATGAGATAGATGATAAATGAATTTACAAAGAAGACTCAGAAGCATTTGCACTGAGTATTATTTCGATCCAATTTGTTGAATAGGAATATCAATTCAATTTTCTATAGTATATCATAAACAACAACAAAATAGTTTTACTTTTTAAGTGAGAACTAATACAACCTAGTGCATAAAAGGATAAAGAAAAATCTAAACATTAATAAAGAATGTAATTAATGTAATGTTAAAATGTAATTAATAAACATTAATAATTAATAAAGGAACCTGGTTCTTCCTCCTAAATGATTTTTACTGCTGGGTATACCTTTACAAATATCTTTCTTTTCCTCCATCCTCTCAAGAACAATTAAATGGGCTTTTTTTTTTTTAATTAAAAAGATAAAACAAATGACAACAGCAACAAAAATCTGTTAGCTATTTAATAAACTCCCTAGAAGAAAATTGGCAGTTCTTGCCGCCATGAGCAGATCCAAAAGTGCAACTGGGATGCACTAAAACCAGCTTCTTTCTCTAGGATGCTCAAAAGCCGCAAATTTGAGAGTATTCATGGACACGAATACACACAGCAGGATACTCTCTCTATAGCCCCTTTAACCAAAAACATATGCTGTTTTCTCTCTTTTGTCCTTACTTTTTTTTAAAGAAAGGGAGCAAATCCCCAAACAAGTCTGCTTAATAACTAGTTCAAGTACTAGTTTAACATGAAGAGATGAGCGGTGAACACTGCGGTCCTCCAGTGGAGGGCTTGCTGCAGCTGCAGCTGCTGGGAGTGCTGTCAGCTGACAGTGTTCTCAGCCTCTCGGAGAATGCTTGACCTGCCCAGAAAGATCTAGTCCGAGACCAAGGCCCTTCCCAGGGCGGTCCATACCCAATGACTGATCGACAGAAACACAAGTCCTGGCCACCCATATTGGGCCCACTCAGGACTCGGGCCAATTTGGAATGGCCATTTTAGCTTGGGAGCTCCCGAAGGGGATAGCAATGGTTACTGATAGGGCAGTATGGAATGCATTGATTTCTCCCTCTGCCCAAATCTGCTTTCTCTCCCTTCTTTCTACATGTGTTGATTCCAGGGACACGCCTTAATAGTTCACATGCTAAATTCCATCTCAGAATGTGCTTCCCAGGGAAACTACCTCCCAACACGCATAATGAGAATGGTGGGGAAAGAAGTCCACAGATTCTTCAGCTGTTTTAAAACTTACTTCTGGCTAACTTCACCTACATACCTGCCCATTTCAAGACATGAATTTGTCTAAAAAGCAGAGAAATATATAAGGGAGTAGAAGACCATTTGATTAACAAATTATACATCTTTATGACTTAAAATATATCTTAACAGGATTTTTTTTAAACATGAGTCATCTGTCTGGAGTCTAACAACACTGTTATATAATACATGGTTTTTATATGATGTGCTTTTGTACTGGTTTTAATCAGACCATTAAAACACAGATGTAGGTTCTGACCAAGAACCTTTCAAAACATTAGAAATGTGCCTTAATTCGACTCTAGTAATCCCAACTATGTCAAATGCAATTTCTTTGAGGGTGGTAAATATATATGTAAGATTTGCAGGGTCCTAACCAAGCCCGCCGCCCCACCCGCCCCTCAATACTAATTCAGGACTGAAAAGGCAGATGCTGTCAGCTGTTACACAAGTGAAAGGAACTATGTAAGTCCTTTGTTAGGTTTGAAAGGTTCCTGCCGCCCCTCTACGCCCAGGTAAGGACCTGTAATGGCTATCAGCTCCACCATCATCTGTCATAAAACTATCTGCTCCCCATGTTTACATAGCAACATTAAATGCCTGAGAAAGAAAATATTAGTGCCAACAGAGCAGGGGAAAAATTAGGAAGTTATTTGAATATAGATTAATTCATTCAATATAACATTCAATATTCTTAACAGTCTATTTGTATCATTCTGAAATCTACTTTTTATAGCCATGTCACAGGAAGACTGACAAATAAAAAAATGAACATAAAATAGGTGACTGACTTAATAAATACACAATATCTCAAAATACAAACGTTACCTTTAAAAGTTGTCAATTTGGGGAGTTCGTTTTTCTCCAAAAATGTTTAACATTTTCTAACTTTTCAGAGACAACAAAGATATATTTTTTATTGTCACATTAGAATTTTGATGAAAATTATCCAGATTTATCACTAATTTTATTTGGTAAATTTAACTTAATTTCTAGGTAATGATAATGAGATTTTCCCCTAACAATAGTAGCTACCACTTATCAATTACTGTTCACTGATTTGTACAGGCATTTCACATATACTATCACATTTTTAAAATGTTATTGTGTTTCTAAAGACCATTTAATTATACTCTAAAAACAAAATCTATCTTCAGTAGATGAATACGTGGCTCCATGTAAGACATTTAGACAAATGTATCACCCATTTCCAACATGTTTGGAAAGAGACTCCAAAAGCATTTTGAGCAAAGACTACAGATTCTTCAGGTAAAGCAATTATCTTATGTTCACTTCTGTGTCTGTCCATCTTGCACTGAAATGGTTCTAAGTATTTATCAGAATAACAAATGTGTTATTATTTTATTATTACATGTAATACTTGTACACATTTGGTACTCTCTTGGAAGATAAGCACTTAAACCACAGGGATATACAGTATAACACAAAAACCTTTAGAGAAATAAAGAGAAAATAATTGGCCCATACAGAATTTAGCTTTCAACGATCCTTAGAGTCATCATCTTAAAACACATTGTCATAAATGTACCTTTTCTTTGAAATTTACATGAAAATTACTGAAATAATAAGCTTCTTGGGTGTCACCATAAAACAGGTACATGATGATGATGAATCAATGCAGAAGGCAACTGGAATGCCGAAGACATTTAAGCACTCACATATTCTCAAGTTGAATAAGAAAAGAACTTACTCTTTCAGCCCTGTCTCCGCACTATTCCCAGATGCATCTGAACCAAGAGAAATGCCAGCAGGAGACTGTCGTCCGGTGAAACCAGATGAAGAAAAGGAGAGTCCATATGGTTCAAAATTGAGAACTAGAATTTTAAAACAATAACAGAATTTCACATTTAAAGCAAAGCAAACCTTATGTGTATGGGAGAGGGGAGAGGAGAAAAATGATCAAAGGTACTCGAACACTCAAGCCCAATGACAATTTTTAAACTGGCAGTTTGGAAATTACACAATCAAATATTAATAGTACAGGCAGCACCCTGCAGTACGAACGAGATCTGTCCCTTGCTGTGTCTGTAAGTCAGACTTGCAGGTAATTTAGAAGAGATATATATAATTATTTACTTATACTTTTGTGCAAGAAAAGGATCTGATGCCTTTTCAATTATTTAAAAGCTGCATGTGCAGCAAGTGAAGGCAACTGATGAATTTATTGCTGTAAGTTGGTCCCACCATTGCAAAATGAAGGTACATTCACATTAAAATGCAAGTAACAGTTAAAAAGCAAGTAACAGTTAACACAAAGCAGATTTCTTAACCTAGGGACTAACTATAGTAATAATAAGGCAGCTACCACTCACTGAATGCTACTATAAATCTTCATTCTGCTAAGTGACCAAAACAAACTATCCTTCCTTTCTGTGTTAGTCTGGGTACTTTAGAGAAACAAACCCACAGAAACGCATGTGTATAAGAGAGCGTTTTACATAAAGGTTAAGGGTGCATCAAGAAAACATCCCAACCCAGTGCTGCCCAAGCCCACAAGTCCAACATTAACTCATATGTCCAACACCAATCCACGAAGTCCTCCTCCATCTCACAAAACACACACTGTGACGCTGACTGCAGGAGGAAAGCTGAATCAGTGAATGTATAAGCATCTCAGCGCTGGCAGGGAGTCTCCACATGGGTGCTCCAGCACCCAGGGCTGCACTGGGGTTGGTCCATGTGGCTTCTCCTCAGGGATGTCTTGCAGGAAGTGAGCCTTGCCAGCTAAAGCAGGGAACTGGCTAAGGCAGCTGCACCCTGGTCCGACCATCACAAAGCAAGAGACCCAAGAACTAGAAAGGCTAGGCTCACCGAGCCATTTATCCCTCCCCTCTTCAATTAACCTCACATGTGTTTATTGGCCAGGTTGGCATAATAAACTAACATCCTCACTTTCTTTTGATCTCCCGGAGAAAAGAGAAACTTCAATTGGGAAGGAGAACTGGTAAACCCTGCCTACCAAAAAGTTGTTGCTCTCATGCAAAACTATTTGGTGAGTTAATAAAATACTCTAAGGTACTTTTTCAATTGCGTGTGAGCTAGCCCTACTGACAAAGTACAAGGTTTACTCAAGGTCAGATTACTATAAAGCTGCAGAACTCAAATTCTATCAGAACCATGAAAATCCACATTGCTATTGTGGTGGGCTATTGCCTTCTCCAGTATCCATGCTTCGCTTCTTCCCAGGTAATAAACCCCCTGGTTCTTAGCGAGGTACACACATGACTACTCAGGAAAAACTACATTCCCAGACTCCGTGTCACTGAGTTCTAGCCAATGGAATTATGCATGGTTTTTGTTAGCGACTTCAGGGAAAAATCTTCCTGTAAGAGAACTTTTTTCTTCTTTTGCTGCTTTTTCTGGAAAGAAGGCTGTTGGATTTTTGATAAGGGCCGTGTTGAATCTGTAGATTACTTTGGGTGTATTGACAGCGTATAAAATAAGTCTTCCAATCCATGAACATGGAACATCTTTTCATTTATATAAGTCTCCTTTCATCTATCTCTTTCTGTGGTGTTTTATAGTTTGCATTGTATAAGTCCCGGGTTAGATTCATTTTTAAGCATTTTCTTCTATTAGATACTATTGTAAATGAAACAATTTCCTTATCCTTTCAGATTTCTCATTGCTGGTGTATAGAAACCCAACTGACTTTCATTTGCTGTCTTTGCCCTCTGCAGTTTTGCTAAACTCCACTATTAGTTTTGAAAGTTTTCTTGTGGACTCTTTGGGAATATATATATATTAATTATCCTATCATCCACAAAGAGAGATCATTTTACTTTATCTAACCAATATGGAAATTTTATTTCTTTTTGTCTTATTGCTCTGGCTAGGACTTCCAATGTAATACTGAATGCAGTGGTAATAGGAGGCGACTGGTCTTGTTCCTCATTTTAAGGAGAAAACTCTCGGTCTTTTTACATTTGAGTATAATGTTGACTGTTGGCTTTTATATATGGCCTAAATCACATTGAGTAGTTTCCATTCTATTCTAATTTTCTTTAGGGTTTCCACCAAGGAAGTGCTTTTACTGCAGCCACAGATGATCGTGTGGTCCTTTCCCTTAGTCCAGATGTATTATACTGATTTCCTAATGTTGAACCATGCCTGAATTCCTGGGATAAATCTGACATGACTTGGTGTATGACTGTTGTAATATACTATTGTATCACCAAAGGTTTTAAGAGGAGGAGAATCACAGCAGAGCATTGTTTGAGAGAGGTCATTTAGGTAGCAAAGCAGAAGACTAATCTGACAGGACAAGACAGGAGACAAAGATTCCTCCTCCACTCACTGCCATCATCAGTGCTGACTCACAGTGATCCTGTAGGGCAGGATACACCTGCCCTGTGTGTTTCTGAGTCTTGAAAGCACCATCTTTTCCCCATGGACCAGCTGGTGGTTTCCTATCAACGAGTAACCACTACACCGCCAGGGTTCCTGAAAGACTAATTAGATATGGGAACTGAAGCAATTCAGGTGAGAGATCATATAAATTACTTAGAGGATAAGTAATTCAGCATTTAACCTGTTTGTAGCCTTCATGTTTTCAGAGGCCTTAATTATATGCACATCCTTCTTTAACTTGGGAGTCTCTGAGTGGTAACTCGTTAACAGGCTTGGCTACTAACCGAAAGGCTGAAGGCTCAAGTTCATTCAGACACACCTCAGAAGAAAGGTCTGATAATCTACTTTCAAAAACCCAGTCACTGAAATCCTGCAGACCACAGTCACCACGAGCTGAAAATAACTCAAAGACAACTGATTTTTGTTTATCTTATCTCAGACTGACGTTCTTTTAAAGCAGGATCATTTGGCTAGACTCTCCATGTCCACTTCTAATGTATTTATTTACTCCTTGAGTGGCTGATAAACCACATCTGGCCTGATTTTCAAAAAGGAATAGTTTTGTAGAAGAGAAATTACATTGCTATTTCTCTTTACTACTTCTGGTGTTTTCTAACTTGGGGTTACACCATTTCTAAATAATGTTTTAATCAACTAATTCACATTGATTCCTAAATGCTTTCTTTGAGTAAGTTATTGGTAGTAACTTTGTTCCCTTCTAGCCCATCTGTTTGTCAATTCTCAGTAACTAAAAATACTGCCCTGATGTTTATCTTTATAAACTTCACATTTTTCTACCCAAGATCATTTCTACTAAGGATCATTCCCAAAACTGACTGCTTTAATTATTATACTCTCAGATTATTTTAAAACTCATATAAGACTAGTACCAGAACTGATACTATTTTTCTTCAAGTCTTATTCTATGTAAGAGTCATTTCTAAGATACATTTTAGAATGTATCTATAAGTATTCTTTGAGTGCTTGCTGTGTTCTATCTCATAGCCAGCTTCCCTTTCTATAATGTAACAGATGTTCTAAGACCAAAAAATCTCTTTTGCTTTCAAGAAATTCAGAAAAGAAAGATTTTGAAGGAAAGGAGAAAAGTCTACTTTAAAAGCTTACCCCCAATTATGATAATGGTTTTACAGAACAAAACATACTTGGCAGAGGAATCCATCAGCTGGGGAATTCCAGGACTATCTATCAAGTATTTAACTTATTTTAAGAAAAAAACAACAGGTAGCGCCAAGAATTTTACACTCTGCGACCTCCCCTTCCCTCCTTGTCCCTGGCTTATAATAATGGCAGCTGATGGTCCTCAAATATTTGCAATAGATCACTTTTCTCGGCTCCAGACTCCAGATTTTCACTCTATACCCTTAGTATCATAGGCCTTTATATTTGTGGGGGTCACAGAGCACACAGTTGTAAATCAGAACTTTACTTTTTTTTTTTTGCTCCACTACACACTGCCAAGCTATATAGAGTTAATGGGAAGAAAACCGATTACTCTTGAAAAG